CTCCCAAGAGCCCTCCTCGTGACGGAAAACAAGAATTTGCACATGACTTGTTTGCTTCTAATAGCTTCTTGTTACTACTAGTAAGGCACTTGTTACTACTAGCGTGGCACCTGTTACTACATGACCTGTTTGCTATTTTCTATTAGGTTTGTTATATTAGCTCACGAATGATTTGGTTCCTAGTAGCGTCCTTGCTCCTAGTAGCGATGCGAGGAGCCTCTAGTAGCTTCTAGCCGCTAGAGATTTGGTTTCTAGGTTTGTTTGGAAAGCTTGGACCCCTCTTTCAGCCACGCGAAGCAACTGCGCCTTTAAGAACTCCTCAGAGGGCTTCGACTTGAGGAGCGCCTTAAAAGCGAAGTAAAAATAGAATTTAATTAGACCTCTGAGATGTGATGTCTAGTAGTACTACTAGTAAGGCACTTGTTACTAGAAGCGATGCACTTGTTCCTAGTAGCTTCTTGTTTCTACTATGTCGCACGGCTCTACAAGCCGCTTCCCCTCCAAGTAAGGATGGCCTCCAACCTACTAGCAATGTCACTCTTCGCCTTTGGAACACTTGGGAACCAAACCGCGAGGATCTAGTTCTAGTGATATGTATTCAGAGTCGTGTCCATTGGTCATCTTCGAAATTATGTTCACAATTCCGCCTCCAGAACGGCTGCTCCATCCTCTGGGCAGGCTGCTTCCTTTACCTCACCATTGGTTGATCATTCGTGCCCGCTTTTCTTCTTTCACTTGTTGTTGCTTTCGTTGCCTTCTGTGTTCTTTCTCTTTTCTCTAGACCCTTAGACCCGTCCTTCCTTCCTTCCTTCCTTCCTTCCTTCCCCTTCTTTTATCGCTTTCCTTCATAAGTTGTGGATCCTCAGCCATGCCATTTGGTCAGTTCGTTGGCCTGATCCATAGCCATCTGGAAGCCCCAAGCATCCACCTGACGGAAAAACACCGCGTCACCACATGTTCATCTTTCCCTGTTTCCTTTACACTCTTTAGACCTTTAGGATCCTTTATGCCTTTTTGTGTTTTTCTTCCGGTTTCATCGTTTTCTTCAGACCTCCTTGTTCTTTCCTGGTATTTCTTCATGATGTATGTCAGTATTTTGAGGTGAAGGGACTTTACACGGAACGAACTTTGCCTTTTGGCATGTCCAGCCACCCAACCTCCATGAGATCTTCACTCTCGACGTTCGCCTTTTCGTTCTCCTGCTTCTCCTGCAACTTCACCATGGAACCTGTGCAACCTGCGCAACCTCTCACATTCAAGATCAGGTCGTCGACACCGAAACAAACCATACAAACTAGGAGACAGAACTGACATGCTAGTCATTTGTTCCACAAATCCACGATACGCCTCTTTCAGAAGAGACTTTTGTCCTCTTCTTCTCATTCTGAAATGTTGTTTGGTTGGAGGCCATCGCTAGTAGGTACTCCTCGTTCAGAATGTTTGCTTTGTCGCGACCTTTTGTCCCAAATGTTGAACCGCGGCCTTTTTGGCTTGACAGATTCCACCTTGGGACAGAACTGGGCACATGAAGCAAGGCCATAGGCCATTGGAGCTGCAAAGACTTGATTGGATGTGGTTCCTTTGCTTTTACTAAGTCACTAAGTGTTCCAACAAGGCGCGATCTGCCAAAAGGCTCAGGTTCCAACAAAGTGGCTGTGGGGCCGATTGCATTGCACTCGGTGTCAACTTCTCCACCTTTCTAGAACACGACTTTTGTTTGGCAGCTGTGCTCGGTCTATCCCTTGGGGAAGGAGGACCGAAAGCGTGCTCGGTCGTCAAGAAACACAAGATGCTGGTTGTTGTCGTAATTGTTGCTAGTAGCGTCCTTGCTCCTAGTAGTAAGGCCAGGAGCCCCTAGTAGCGTCCTTGCTCCTTTTTTGCCTTTTTCCTTGAGTCTTCGGCCCAGCCCATGTGCTGTCCGCAGGCAGAGCAAAAGCGGGACGTGCCACGAATCGCCGTGAGCAAGCCTGCCATGTCAGGCTTGGCCCAGAAAGTGTTCTGTTCTTGCAAAAGGCAAAGACTACTGAGTAACGACGTTCTTTTCATTGGGGCCTTTGCATGGCATACTATATGCAAGACGTAGGTAGTGCCAAGACCTAAAGACATCTATAAGTTTTTCATACAGCTGACAGGAACTGCGTCGTACCGCAAGGGTTCTGCAAACACTATATGCCCCGTTCGTAGCGTCCGATCGCTCCGTTCGTAGCGATGCCCGTTGTTCCGTTTGTAGCGATGCCCTTGCTCCTAGTAGTAAGGCCAGGAGCCCCGTTCGTAGCGTCCGATCGCTCCGTTCGTAGCGATGCCAGGAGCCCCGTTCGTAGCGATGCCCTTGTTCCTACTAGCTTCTTGTTACTACTAGTAAGGCACCTGTTACTACTAGCGTGGCACTTGTTACTACATCCTCTTACATCCTCTTACCGAGACAAAAAGAGAGTTCTGCGGGGGGGCGCCTGGAGGTTTGGAATCTTCGCTCGAGCCCCAGCCTCGCAATGCATCGCACATCGGCTCGGCTCGTTTCTTCGAGAATGACTTGACCCAATGTGAAACGTGAAAGTTGAACTTCCGCAATGTCAGATATAAATATATCAAAATATAATATAGAAAAATAAAATGACAAAAGTTTCACAGAAAAGATGTTTGGGCCTGCACTGCTTTCACTCCTAAAGGAGAGAGCAAGGTACAACAAGATGACCCATGTCCGTTGATGGGACAATGCAGGTTGTGTGCTGCACATGCCCATCCCCTGTTCTTCTGTAGACAAATCGTTGCTGCGTTTGTGACGAGTGGTGTGGCATATACAAAGACCTATGCCACACGTCAAGAGGATGAGAATAACTTGTGTGATCCTACACTGCAAGGTTGACCTACCTACTTGTATACTTAAGCTTACTTACGTTGCTACTAGGAACAAGTGCATCGCTACTAGTAACAAGTGCCTTACTACTAGTAACAAGAAGCTAGTAGAAACAATAAGAGGTATACTTGTGTGCTTAAGCTTAAGTGTTGCTACAGCGGACCTCATAAGAACAGCCTGGAGACATCACGGACCTCAGAGCAAATCTCACCCAGTGTCCTGGAGCTGGAGCTGCTCCTGGCAAACGCACCAGCAGTGCCGAAGCTGTGAAACCCTCCAATTCCAAAGTCAAGAAGCTTCTTACTACAAGTATCTACAAGTACGGTATGTGTGTGTGTGTGTCACATCCAACATCCACCGAAGAAAGATACCAAATGCCATGCCTGCCATGCCTTCGGCCTTTTTTGTGCCTGACGGCGTGATCATCAGTACAAGAAAAGGTCTTCAACTGCCAATGCACAAGGATCCTGCCTGGAGCTGGAACTCCTGCAAGCAGAGTCAGTCCAATGGATACATTTCAAAGAGGAGACTTGATTCCGCGCGAGGGAAACAACACACTTGAGAGAGGAGGGGGGTGAACGAAAGGTAGCAGGGAATCAGGCGTAATCCGGGAGGAGGTGAGAGGCCCCCCACTTGTTTGAAGAGAAGTGAGTGAGCGTGATGAAAGAAAGACTAGTGCACAAACGCTTGACAAAACCTCCAGAAGCTGTAGCGGTCTAGCGGTTTCAATACAGGTTGACGTGCCTTCAAAAGGAGTCACATATTTCTCAAATGCAACTTCGGATTTACATAGTGACGTGCGGCGACCCTGTAAATTGCGTGGCCGCAGGCCATGCTTGCAAACAGGACGTGCTCAAAAACACTGGTATTTACGAGGTTTCGTTGCCGTCGATCCACAGCCGCGGCAAGGTCTAAGGCCACGCTTGAAGACAGGAAGAGCTGAAAACACTGGTATTTACGGTATTTTGTAGCCGTCGATCCAAAGGCGCACCACGGTTGAGCGCTGGAAAAGCGCAGAAAACCGTGTAAATACCGGCGTTTTCTGCCGGGAAGGTGCACAAAACCCTGTAAATACCATAGTTTTGTGCAATTTTGAAGCCTCCAAAAGCCTCAAAAACCCTTTCTGACAAAATCTTTCCTGGTTTTTGGTCTTTTTTCGGTCATTTTTCTAACCGAGACGCATCAAAAACCATCGGTTTTTGCGGTGTTTTTTGCCGGACAGCCACAAAAAACGCTGTAAATTCCATGATTTTTGGTCACTGCTGAGGACTGGAAGAGCTGAAAACACTGATATTTACAGTGTTTTCGAACGGTTGACCCCGAGGCGCGCTAGGGTGGAGTTGAAAGGGGGGGGGGGGGGGGGCCCCCCCCGCCGGCAAACGAAGATGTCGGGGACCATTTCTCCGAGAGATAGGCTGCAGCTCTGGGTTAATACATTTTTGCTAAAGCAAAAGGAAAACTCAGGTAGCGTAACCGCTACCTTTCGTGACTTGCTTTTCTTGGTGCTTTGGGGGTAACAACGATGGGCCTCAAAACTACAACGACCTCGAGGCCCTGTCTTCAATGCAATCGACATCTGAACACCATCGCCTTCGTTTCCGCTTTTTCTTCGTCTTCTCCTCCCAGTCTCAGTCGAGTCTCCGCGTGTGTGGAACAAAACGAAGGGCCTCTTTCCGCGGATGATGCTTCTTGCCTTAAGACATCCGTGCCACGATACCCTTGTTACTAGAAGCTTCTAGCTACTAGTAGCAACACGTGCATTACTACTAGTAGCAAATAGCTACAAGTAGCTACAAATAGCCATGCACTTTGTTACTAGTTCTGAAGGTCTCTTTCAACTCGCGCATGTAGAAGGACAATTCAGCAGTGTGATGATCTCGGCACTGCAAGCACTCAGCTCGGTTCTCTTGAGGCTGTTGTATCGTGCAATGAACTTGCATGCTTCGCACATAGGATGACCTACACCGAGACACTTCAGCATTTAAAGCCAGTCATCGGATGTCATTCCAAGTGTCTGGCAACGGATTCTTCATTTCGACGTCTCGTGTCACTTTGTTACTTGCGGTCCAAACTGGCTAAGTGTTGCTCACCTGGTTAGCTTGCGGATCCGCACCTTCCTCGTCACGCTCGACGCCGACAAGGCATTGCGCATGCACGCGATGCCCACACCTGAAACGTCGAGGGACAGTTCCGACCAAAGCTGGTAGTAACAGGTGCCACGCTAGTAGTAACAGGTGCCTTACTAGTAGTAACCAAGAAGCAATATAGTAGAATTAAGATAAAACTAAATTAAATTCAAACTACTAACTAGCTTCTTGTTACTACTAGTAAGGCACTTGTTACTAGTAGCGATGCACTTGTTTCTAATAGCTAACTGCTGCTACAAGCAGTAGCATCTTGTTACTAGTAGCGATGCCAGGAGCTACTAGTAGCGTCCTTGCTCCTAGTAATAGTAGTGATGCCCTTTGCTACTAGTAGCGTCTTATTACTAATAGCGATGGCCTCCAACCTAATAGCTTCCAACCCAAGTAGCAATGGCCTCTGACCTACTACAAATCTCACGAATGAAAGATGGGTGACTAGGAATGTACTCAAATATTCTTCAATATTCTTCATTTGTCTGAGGTTCAGGCTTTCGGAGGTCCAGTGTCCCGAAGGCTCCCAAAGGCTTCATACCTCAAAATCTAGCGCTGCTTTGATTGTCCTTTGGACAATCCTTGTTCCTAGTAGCGATGCCAGGAGCCCCTAGTAGCGTCCTTGTTCCTAGTTTGGACAAGTTCTCTCCAATTCCAAATTGCTTCCTTCGGCTTCCGGCAAACTGCACAAATGGCGCGACGTGAGATCTTCTCGAACATCTGCGCCTTTTGCAAAGGCATCGGGAGTCCATTGGTCAAACGACGAAGCGAACGGAATGACATGGCAAGACAGGTGTTTGAGGCTGGAACAAACCTTGGAGTTTTTAGCCAAAACAGCAAGAATATTGTTCGTTCATAAAGCTAGTAGTAACAAGTGCCACGCTAGTAGTAACAGGTGCCTTACTAGTAGTAACATAGTAACAAGAAGCGAACGTAGAAACAAGAATTCATTAAATCTTGTTTCTAATTGCTTCTTGTTACTACTAGTAAAGCACCTGTTACTACTAGCTTCTGAATCTGTCCTGACGTAAGAGCACCAGCACGTGATTCGGTTGAGCAAAACTCCCGTCGCAACCTGGGTTTTCTGGTCATCTCGGGAGCGGCTTCCGCGCCTCCGTTTTTGGCGAACGACATGAGGATTTCTTTTGAAAATTACAGCAGGACTCGCCTGGAAGTGCGACGTTTGTGGGAGGCCTGGAAGGCAGAGATGGCCACAAGCAAGGTCATGCCTCCAACCTAGAAGCAATGGCCTCCAGCCTAATAGCAATGGCCTCCAACCTATGATATCAGGCTACATCTTGCCTCTTTGCGTCTTCCCCTTGAACGTCTACTTCTGCTGCGACTTCTGTAGCCTGACTCAGAAGGAGATCTTGTACCATTGCGACTAGAGGCATGTTAAAGGACCTACAATGACCCTTGACCTGTCCAAAAAAAACAGTACTTTCTTATACATGTTCAGTATCACTCCTTCAAGAGGTCTGATCAAGACAAGTAGCGTCCTTGCTCCTAGTAGCGATGCCAGGAGCCCCTAGTAGCTTCTTGTTCCTAGTAGCCACCTTCTTGCTCTTCAGCAAATGTGCACAATATGCACTTGGCTTGGCAGTTTCGACTTCGAGGAACTTTGTGATCGCATGCTGCATGTGCGGCTACTGAGGTACCGCTTGCATCCCTCTACCAGCTTAGACTTCAACTTACTTCGCTCTAGCGTCCTTGCTCCTAGTAGCGATGCCAGGAACCCCTCGTAGCGTCCTTGCTCCTAGTAGTAAGGCCAGGAGCCCCTAGTAACTTCTTGTTACTAGTATTTGATGATATTTGCAGCGTCTATAAGTTCTCGCTATAAGTTATCGGCGACAGCCTCGCAACGGGCGATGAGCAAAAGACCTGCAGCAGCTCGGCGTGGAACAGAAAGGAAACCAAAAATCAATCCCTAGACATGCATAGAGACATGTTATGAACAAAGACCATGGCTTTCATGTGTTGCACATAATGCATATTGTCAATGAGAGTCAAAATGGCATTGCAAATTGTGCTCCCCCCATCACAGTACCTGCACCGGCGAGTTTGTCGGCGCTCCAGCCTTCGACGAAAGGAACTTTTGGCCTAGACAAGCAGCGGCAGAGAAGGGTGCCAACGATCCAACGATTCGTGGAAGAGTCAAATAAGGAGCTTGTTGTTTAAAAAACTATACAAGCATAGACCCCAAACAGCTTCAAAAATCGATTTATTGGTTCGCCCTACTTTCACCCCAAGAGCAAACTGCTTCATCAATGAGTTCTTGTCGGCATTGACATCGCTATTTGTTCGGCCACACTCCTCTCCAGTAAGCCGGGCCACAGAGACCAGCCACAGAGTTCAGGGGCGCGGCCAAGACAAGGACAAGAGGAGGACAAGACCCGGAGACAGAGCCGGGCCAGAGAGACCAGCCACAGAGGAGCCGGGCCACAGAGCCCAGCCACAGAGTTCAGGGGCGCGGCCAAGACAAGGACAAGAGGAGGACAAGAAGAGGACAAGGCCCAGCCACAGAGCCCAGCACAGAGGACAAGAGGAGGACAAGAGCCCAGTAAGCCGTCCATAGCACACGAGCGCGCTCGCCCTGCTCTCTTTCTCTCTCTCTCTCTCTCTCCCTCTCTCTCTCTCTCTCTCTCTCTCTCTTAAGTTTCTCTTTCTCTGTCTTTCTCTCTGCAGAGCGCGCTGTGAGCGCGCCTTTCTGGAGCGTATTTCAGAGCGCGCCAGAGCGCGCCGTCCAAAGCACACGAGCGCGCGCCCTGCTGTCTTTCTCTCTCTCTCTCTCTCTCACTTTCTCTTTAAGTTTCTCTTTCTCTGTCTTTCTCTCTGCAGAACGCTGCAAGCGCGCCTTTCTGGAGCGTGAGCGCGCCGTCCAAAGCACACGAGCGCGCGCGGGCTCGCCCTGCTGTCTTTCTCTTTCTCTTTCTCTGTCTCTTTCTCTTTCTCTTTCTCTTTCTCTGTCTCTCTCTCTCTCTCTTTCTCTTTAAGTTTCTCTTTCTCTGTCTTTCTCTCTGCAGAGCGCGCTCTAAGCGCGCCTTTCTGGAGCGTGAGCGCGCCGTCCATAGCACACGAGCGCACGCGCGCTCGCCTTGCTTTCCTTCTTTCTTTCTTTCTTTCTGTCTTTCTCTCTCTCTCTCTCTCTCACTCTCTCACTCTCTCTCTCTCTCTTTCTCTTCAAGTTTATCTTTCTCTGTCTTTCTCTCTGTAGAGCGCGCTCTGAGCGCGCCTTTCTGGAGCGTATGTCAGAGCGTGCGCCACAGAGCCCAGCCACACAGAGCCCAGCCACAGAGTTGACAGAGTTCAGGGGCGCGGCTAAAGCGGCTAAGAGGAGGACAAGAGGAGGACAAGAGGAGGACAAGGCGTGGACACAGAGCCCAGCCACAGAGTTGACAGAGTTCATGGCAAGAGGAGGACAACAGGAGGACAACGAGGACAAGAGGAGGACAAGGCGTGGACACAGAGCCCAGCCACAGAGCCCAGCCACAAAGTTGACAGAGTTCAGGAGCGCGGCCAAGAGGAGGACAAGACGAGGACAAGGCCCACAGCCACAGAGCCCAGACAGAGTTCAGGGCCGCGGCCAAGAGGAGGACAAGGCCCAGCCACAGAGCCGCGCCACAGAGTTGACAGAGTTCAGGGGCGAGGCCAAGAGGAGGACAAGAGGAGGACAAGGCCCAGCCACAGAGCCCA